GAAAAATATATAAATAAATAAAAGTTTTCATAATTTTAACATGTGAGAGTAAAATAAATAAAATAAAAGAAAAGATAGAATAAATGGACATCCCCATCGGAATTGTTCTTGAATCACACACAAGAGAAAGGTTTTGCATTTCTCTGCCATGGCTGGTCTCGCCAGCGCCTTGACATTCAAACCCATTCTTTCTAGATCGAACCCCAACTTCCTTCCTTATCTTCACCCCACCCGCTTGACCATCTACCTTCACTCTCCAACATTCTCTCTGTCCACATCTTCCGTCACCTCCGCCTCTATCTCCGCCCAGCATTTTGACCGTCGTGGAGGCAGCTCTGATGATGACGAAGCCCTAGACTTATCTGTTATAAGGTGTTATTTAATAGTGTCTTATATCCTACACCGTATAATATCTTTTATTTCACTTTGCGAATATCCTTTTCTTTCACTTTGCAACAAGAGAAAGATGGATGCGAAAAAAATCAAACATATTTCTGTCTTCTCGTGATCACTGTATTAGATTCTGTTTATCACTGAATAAATTATTTACTGTATTTTACTTGATTTGAATATATGTTTATCATATTATATTTTGCTTATGTGTGTACTGAAATCGATTGGAGCTGACCATATTTATGGTTCTTGTGATGGCTTTCTGTAGGTCAAACAAAGTCAGGCTTATTGACCAAGAACAAAATATGGTTTGTTCCTTAGAGAATGAGTATGGTATACTCCGTATTATATAATTATGTGCTCTCTTTGCCTGGATTTAATCGTACATTTTCCTGTCTTTGAGCGTCCGAAATTGAATGTNAACATATTTCTGTCTTCTCGTGATCACTGTATTAGATTCTGTTTATCACTGAATAAATTATTTACTGTATTTTACTTGATTTGAATATATGTTTATCATATTATATTTTGCTTATGTGTGTACTGAAATCGATTGGAGCTGACCATATTTATGGTTCTTGTGATGGCTTTCTGTAGGTCAAACAAAGTCAGGCTTATTGACCAAGAACAAAATATGGTTTGTTCCTTAGAGAATGAGTATGGTATACTCCGTATTATATAATTATGTGCTCTCTTTGCCTGGATTTAATCGTACATTTTCCTGTCTTTGAGCGTCCGAAATTGAATGTAAAAAAATGTTTTCTCCCTCAAGCTCTCTCCTAGGCTAGGGTTACGCCGACCGCCGCTATGGCGGTCCGGCGTCCATCTTCCATCCATGGCCATCACTCTCCCTCATCCTCGCAGCTTCAACGATATAGCAATCAAGGGCGACTACAAACCAGCGACAAAATACAAAGGCCAACCGGCTATATCCTTCTCCGATGAGGACGTCAACAATCTGTCTGCTAGGTTTGTTCGCACAATCGTGGGTCGATTCACCAAAGGTAGACCATGCCTAGACTCAATCCGAAAGGCCTTTGAACGAATCGCATTTGAGAAGGAATTTACTGTAAGTTTGCTAGATGATTCTCATATCCTAATTAATTTCGAATCTGAGAATGACTTTCTGCGTTGCTTGCTGCGAAAATACTGGAAGATTAATGGCTTTGTTTTGAAAGTATTCCGTTGGACCCATGAATTGATTCCCCATTGATTCCGGTTTGGATTAGTGTTGAAGGTCTTCCAATTCATCTTTTTGACTCTCTGGCTTTGTATTCCATTGCCAATTTTATTGGTAAGCCACTGAAAACAGATGCTGCAACAGCAAGCCTGTCAAGGCCATCTGTTGCACGTATTTGTGTTGAGGTTGATACCAGTAAGGAACTGCCTCATGGTGTTTGGATACATCTTGGTCAACTTATATTTCATCAACCTATCAATTATGAAGATCTTCCTGAATACTGCCCTTCCTGTAAATCTTTTGGACATAAAAATTGCAAAAAGGCCACAAAATCCTCTAGATGGGTGTTGAAGGACACGCCAGGGACTGGGAATACAGCTCCTGCTGTAGCCGTCCCTCCGTTGCAAACGGTGGACACAAACTGTCTCCCAAGACAGATTTGGAAGGATGCTTTGGAGAACAACCAAACTCCAACTAACATCGACCCTAATTCCGAGATTGAACAAAGCTGTGAGGCACACAAACTGTCTCCCAAGACAGATTTGGAAGGCACACAGTACGAAGAGGAATTCCCTCCCCTCTCTAAAGAGTCCTTAACTGCAACCACGGATGATTTTCCAGCCCAAAAATTTAATAGTGATGCACACACTCTTTCCTTCGAGAAAGAGATGGATGGCACACTATCCCCTTCTATCAATGGAGATGATGAAACTATTTCTGATCCTTCTCTTAGCAAAATTTTTTTCCCACCAGTAACTAACATTGCAGGTAATGACCAAACTACTATTGGCCCTATTCTTCACTCTTTTGAGGTGGATGGACAACACTATGAAATTAGGTCCTATGAAGAAGCGGAGACAAGCAACCTAAGGGAGGAACCTAACGACTTCCAAGATGTCCAGAACAAACGCAACAGAAAAGCGGGGAAGAGGGGAACTGCACCAAGGACGATTAAAACTAGAAGCTACGATCCAAATCTTGAAGTTGGAACAGTGAGCGAGATCACTAGATACTGGCCCAGCCGCAAATCAACCACAATGGAGAAAATCGTCACTACCAAAAGTTATTCTAGGCCCTTTTGGTATGTTGGACCTGTCGGCCCAATTGGGGCAGATGGGAAAAGGCCAAAGAAAATAATGCCCAGAAACCTTGCCTTGGATCAACACCCGGGTTTTATAATTTGGGAATGACCATTTGTAGTTCTTTCGATTCACTCTTCATTCAGTTTTTTTTCCATGCATTTCTAGAGGGGCATTGGCCTAGTCCTCCCCTCCCCTGTACCTTTTCTTTTCTTTTTTCCTATTTGAATTATATATATATATATATATATATATATATATATGTATAGCATTAATGACATCAATAAATGAAAAATTCATTTAAAGAACTTATTGATATTTTACACCTTACAATTGAGATTGTTTATAAGGCAAATAGTTAAATCCGGATGGAGGGAGTATATAATTTTCCAAGTGGACATTTAAAGTTCGAGTCAATTTTGATTTTCTATTCTTTTCTGATGTAGGTTGGCATTGTTTCAAAGAGTGAAGCTCTACAAAGAGCAGAAGACTCTGAACTTGATTTGGTATGTTCCTACCTCTGTTTTCTTGAACGTCAAAGTTTTACTTCTCAATTTGCAGTTTATGAAATAGAAATCTAGCTTAGGTATGTACTTTGCAATTGTTGTAACCCTTGAATCTGAAATATCTATAGATGATTAATGTGAGAGCTTATTAGGAATTTGATTGGTATAAGAATGTTTAGGGTTAGAAGGTTGGTGCATGCTCCAGTGTTCATCTCTGCAACTTTTATAAACAAGCCACGAAACTGTTATAAATATGTTGCAAGCTCACAATTGTAGTTTTAGTACTTCAAGGGTCGTACATGTAGATGGGTGACTTCCTTTTCTAAGTCATTCTATTAAATTAATGTTAGATTTTGATTACAAAAAGCACACGTTATAAGAATTTTTAACCAAATAAACTTGAATCTGTAATATAAAAACAAGATCTTGCAAGGTATTACAATTTCTATGAATGATGGTAGAACACGATATCCCAATCTGTGTACATCATAGACCGATTGACATGAAAACAAAATTAAGCTGTTGAATAATTAATTGGGAATAATGAAACAACTGCAATAATCATACTACATTGAGAGTAATTCTCGGCAGCTGCAGTGCCTTCAACCACTTCTCTGCTCAAGCCAACTGTCTTTGTTTTGCGATCCCCTCATTTGCATCTGTCTACTTTCTTTTATAGCTTTAGGTAGGTAACCTTCTCCATAGGGAATTCAACCTCATGTTTCTCCATCTCACCCTTCTCCACAGGGAATTCAGGCTCACGTCCCAAAAGAATCCTCTTGTTGTTCTTATTATTATTATTATTATTCATATACGATCAGGTCAACTTTTGGCTTCCATTCCGAATTGCTTTGTCCCGGGAACTGTATTGTTTCACTTCAGGGTTCTTCTCAATCGGAATAAGGCTTGTCTGAGCACCAGCCTACAATAAGAAAGTGTCAAAACATAAAATTTAAGTTAAAATGAATCATGTAACGCCATGTTCTCCCCAACTTATTCTTTTACGTATTACTTATTCTTATTGGAATCAGATCAGACCAAATTAGATCAGAAATAGCTTTAAAAATAACTACATTCAGATCAGCCAGCCAGATGAGATAAGATCTTATTCCAATCAGATTAGAACCAATCAGGTCGGGTGAAGCACATTACCTGTTTTAGTTTTATGAAATCAAGATAATAAAGATCACCTCTTTTTATATATATAAAATGTTCAAAAGTGATATAAAATTTGATCAATTAAAATGATAAGATCTTCACAAAAGATGACTCTATTCCATAGTAGGGGTAAAGTCCGCACACCCCCCCTCTTGTGAGATTCTACTTGGGTTGTTTGCTAGCAGTGTTCGAAGGGCATGGCCCTGGGGCTTGTGGTGTTCGTGTATGTCTTTGCAGGTAATCTTTAATCGAGAAATGTCAAATGTAAATTTCAAATTTGGGACAAAGGGAGCATATTGTAATTGATCTTCAATGTTTAAAATATTTTCCAATGGTACTACTATACCTAAAAAGATTCAAAATAAAAAATAGATCATATACGTCCCTATGACATTTCCATCATCTTTGGTGGAGCCAAAGATTTACTAGTTTTTTGGCTTTGGGGCATGATCCTTATGATGGAAAAAGGAAAATGACTCTTTAAAGTTTTAGCAATAAGTCAGTGCAACTTTCGACACGGGTCAACCGGCAACAACCGCTCAATGTTTTAACTTTTAAACATAAGGGTCAGGTTGCATACATGATTACTTGTGTTGCTTGAGCTGGGGTCTCTTTGGAAATAGACTCTCTACTCTCTAGTAGGGGTAGGTCTGCCCACACATCCTCCCCAGAGTCCAAACCCTACTTTTGTAGGATTCAACTGGGTTGTTGTTCATGTCTCCATGGCATCAAGGTATACTAATAGTGCCATACTTCGAGTTCACTAAATTACGTGATTATGTTTATCCTTTGGAATCCTATGTGATGTGGTCAAGTGTGTCACCCCCCATGTTCAACAAGTGAGGTCATCCTCTTCCTACAACTTTAGCTCTCATATATTCATTTCTTATTCTATCCATACACTTATGACCGCTCATCTAACAAAGCATATTCCTTTCCGCCACTCTAACCCTGTGTTCATGTTCACCCTTTGCTCCCCAACGCTCTGTTTCATACGATATAGCAAGTCTAATAGCATTACTGTTTCCTTTTAGTTTTAATGGTATTTTTTGTCACATATAAAGTTCGAAGCACCTTTCCATTTTGACAAACCAGCTTGAATCATGTGGTTAACATCATCCTATATTTCTCTATTGTCTTAAATGATACACCCAAGATATTTAAATATCTTTACTTGTGGTATGCTCGTAGTATTTTCCCTGACTTTCACCTCTATGTTACGACTTCTCTTTCTGTTGCCAAACATGCACTCCATATACTTTGTTTTAGTGCGACCTATACAACTTTCCTTTCACCTTTCGTGATTTGCCCATAAGGATGATGTCATCGACAAAAAACATGCATCATGGTATGGATTCTTGGATATGCTTTGTAAGAATGTCCAATACTAGTGTAAAAAGATATGGGCTTATCGATGACTCTTGTAACTCTACACAGATGGAAAATTCTCCGGTTACCCCACTTTGACTTCTCACGCTCGTTGTAGCACCATCGTACATGAAATTAATCACACAAATATACACAATCCTTGCTCCTTTTTTTCTCTAAAACCTTTTATAAAACTTCTCTTGGTACCGTGACATATGCCTTTTCCAAATCAAATAAGAGTCATGTGTAAATCTTTCTTCTCACTTCGGTACCTCTCCATCATTCTCCTCACAAGTATATAGCCTTAGTAGTTGATTGACATAAAACAAATTGGTTCTCTAACACCGAGGTGTCTTGTTTCAACCTCCGTTCAACCACTCTTTCCCACAACTTCATCGTAATATAAAATTAAAATAGTAATTAAATTAACTTTGAAGGGTTTAAAAAGAATTGGGATGAAAGTTATACTCTGTATTATATTTGGCTTGAACAATCAAGAAATTTTTGTGGAAAAAACATAAATAGAGAATACAAATTCCAGTTTTGGCCGTTGTTACTTGTTAGTGACTGTTATTAGTAATAATATTAGTATTTTAGTTAAGTCGAGAATATGGCAGGCTCTGATTTGGCCATTAATATGGGTGATTTAGGCATTAATATGGGAGATTTAGTTTCCTTATATTAGCACCCTTCTTATGTATATATAGTCATTTTGTATTATGTAATTATGTATTATGAGGAAAACCTCTGATTATTAATCACATGGTATCAGAGCCAGTGTGCTCCAGGGTTAGGGTTCATCGTTTGTAAAAAAAGGAAGGCTTCTGCCATTTTGACGCTGTCTCTAAGGGTGCTCGCATGACGTCATCACCATCGTGGGTGAAGTCGCACGTTGCAGGAGAACAATTCTGGAGAATCTCTCCTTCGTTGGAGACCTCATGCCCCGCCACTGCTGATCAGATCCACTGTCAAAAATCACTGTCAGGGTCGCCTGAGTCATCTAAGCACCTGTGCAGACTCAGTTTGGACATTCAGTGGGTGATTTTTGCTCTGTCTTCCTCTGCCGATCAAGTTTTGTTCAAATTTTAGTTCATTGAAATGGGTGATAAGTCTAGTGTCATCACTGAAGTTTTTCCAGTCATGTCAAAAATCACAGAGAGGAAACCTAATTCCTCTAATTATCTTGAATGGGTCACGACTATTAAACTATATCTCCGAAGTGCTGACAAGGACGATCATATGACTGATGATCCTCCTAAGGATGCAACTACTAAGAAAGTCTGGTTGAGGGATGATGCTCATCTATTCCTCCAAATCCGGAACTCAATTGATGGGGATGTGCTTGGGTTAGTTGGCCATTGTGAAACAGTTAAAGACTTGATGGAATATTTGGAATTTCTATATTCAGGTAAGGGAAATCTTACTCGTATCTATGACGTATGTAAGGCTTTCTATCGGGCAGACCAGCAGGATCAATCTCTTCAAGCATATTTCATGGACTTCAAGAAGACATATGAGGCCTTAAATTCATTGATGCCCTTCACTCCAGATGTCAAAACTCAGCAACAACAGCGAGAGCAGATGGCAACAATGAGTTTCTTGGCAGGCTTGGCCCCGAGATTTGAGGCTGCCCGAGAAAGGGTCCTTGCAGACTCTGAGGTTCCCACTTTACAGGATGGGTACTCACGGATTCAACGTAGTGAAAGTGTAAAACCCATAGAGCCTTC